TGCTATAATAAATTTGGTCAATTTACTAAAAATTATAAAATTTCGACTAGAATTATAGTCGCGATTTTTTCGCGATAGAAATCGTAAAATCACGTGCGATTTTTAGATTCGTTAAATACATTACCAGAATTATGTCTGCTAAATCTGATTTATCACTTAAAAGTGGTAAAACTCCGGATCTCCAAATCGTACATTATATTCCAACACCCTAGTCTAGGTCCAGATTCCGTTTCGAAATCACGATTCCAGTAAAAAACATGCAAACAAATGGAAATCCCTTTTTTTTTTTAAAAAAAAAAAAAAAAAAAAACACTAGAACTTTTAATACGTCATCATGAAATTTCTTTATACAGTAGTATTTACCATCGTGTCGCATGCCATCTATAATAGGTTGTAAGATCGTATTCTGAATTTGCGCGAGTGTTGGAGATAACATCCCATTCCACAGTATTTAAATTCCTCACAATTACTAGTAAATAATTAAATATGAAAGTACGCGAATTTTTGAATATTTATTTGATCACCATCAAAAAGACCTGCAGGATGAAAAGAGATAATTTTTTATATCGAATACGTAATTACATTTGAACCTGTAAACCCATTATTGATCTCTTATTTGTTTTTGTTTAATAAAACTACAATTCGTCATGTGCATCTGTACTGTAAGCAGATATTTCTAAACTTTTGTATTCCCATCATCACGTGATGGAATTTATCAATATATATATATCTAGCAAATGCCCTTGCATAAAATTGAAAAAATGATTTTCAAACGCGATTCCAAGTTATCTGGAGAGAATGATCCATTTAAACAATCCTTTGCACCCAGAAATTCAAAACATCTTCCACCTGAATTGAAAAAGTATTAATATTTTATATTTCCTGTAATGTATGGTGAAGGCTCTAAAATTCTTTTCTTTTAATTTTTTAGATATTGGAATCAACGTTATTTATTGTTTTCGTTGTATGATGAAGGCATTATGATAGATGAAGGTATGAATTCCAAAAGTAAACTTTTATGAATTGATGTAAAATTAACTATTTATCTTAATATATAGAAGGATGGTATTCAGTTACACCGGAATATTTAGCAGAATATATTGCTAAACGTTGTTCTTGCGATACAATTATTGATGCTATGTGCGGTGTAGGTGGAAATACAATCCAATTTGCAAAGACGTGTAAAAAAGGCAAGCATATGTTTATTATCAATGAAATATAGTGTAAGTATAAATATTTCCTATATTACAAGTTCTCTTTATTATAGTGATCGCAATTGATATAGATGAGAAAAAATTACATTGCGCCAAAAATAACGCCAGTATATACGGAGTAGAAGATAATATCGAATTCATTTTAGGAGATTTTTATGATTTGATACCTAATTTGAAGGTTTGTATCTCCTTTATTATGTTACGTTAATATTATATATTGAGTGACTTTTATTATCGTTTGTAAATAGGCTGACGTAGTGTTTTTGAGTCCACCTTGGGGAGGGCCATCCTATCTTAAGTCAAAAGGTTATGATATTAAGACAATGATACTAGTAGATGGGTAATTAATATTGTATTCATTCTTTTTATTTATGATCATAACTTTTATTAATGTTTATTCAATTAGTGAAAAATTGTTCCGAGAAGCAAGAAAGATCACAAAAAACATTGCATATTATGTTCCCAAATCTATAAATTTTGACCAGGTATGATCCGTGAAATAGATATTTTAAAACATACAGTATCTTTGATTAAATTGCATATAATTTATTATTTAGATGAGTAAATTATGCGATCCTGATGAAGTTTGTGAATTCCAACAAGTAATTTTTGGGGAGAAAATTAAATCATATGTAACATATTATGGTAACTTAGTGGGTAATCATTTTAGTGAAGTAATCAAAGTTCCAAAATATTGGGCCAATGATACTTCTGATAATCATATTAAGTCGGAAGAATATTATGATAACTTAGTGGACAATAATCTTAGTGAAGAGATCAAAGTTCCAAAATATCGGGCCAATGAAGAAATTGATGATAATTTAATGAATAATAATCTTAGCGTTAGTGAAGAAATTCAAGTTCCAAAATATCGGGCCAATGAAGAAAACTATGATAATTTAATGGATGATTTAATGGATAATAATATTAGTGAAGAAGTCAAAATTCCAAAATATCAGGTCAATGATACTTCCGATAATCATACTCAATCGGTAGAAACTGAAAAAAATAGTAAAAAAAGGAAAAGAAAAAGAAGAAGAAAACGAACAAGTGAATTTACTCATACAAAGAATATAAAGAATTAAAAAAAAAAGAATCTATTTATAGTTATTTTTTAATGCAACAACCTACTTTTTGTTATTTCTTAGACTTTTAAAATAAAAGTAATGGCTATTTTATTTATCATCAATTAAATATAGCATTTGTTAGATAGCAACTCAAATTTGAATGTAGATATTAATCAAAAATGATAATCAGTAATTATTATTGATTTTGAATATAATGATGCATTATTTTATTTTTTAATTAGTAAATTTCCTTATAAATTTTATTTTTTAAAATATAAATATAAAGAAATAATATAATTCTTATAATTTGATATATATACTGTATATTCAAATAATTTTGATTTTAATTATTTTTTATAAATTAAATTACTTTACTTAATAAAAGTTAAATAAATTTTTTAATTTAGTTTTTTTTATGATGATATATTTTAAAATATTTTAATAAAATTAAATTTTTTATTGTATTTTAATTTTTAATATTATAGATTGCTTTTTTTGTTAAAAAATTTCAAATTTTGATTTTTATAATAATTTATTCTATAAATTACATATAAAGATTTTAAAATTTTTATAAAAGTAAATAATTAAAAAGATTTAAATTATAGTTATAATAACCATTCTGATTATTTATATAATATAATAAATAAATATATATATATAATTAAATACTACAATTACTAGTAAAATTACAAAATTAATTTTTAATATATTAAAATTTTTATGCAATCTATAAAATTTATATTACTAAAATATAATATATAAATTATACTTAGCATGGTAATTATCTTAATTAAGTATATACATAATATGTAATTATGGTAATTAATTACCATTTTTTTTTAAAAAAAACATAATTGCAAAATTAATTATAGGGGTAGTAATTAATTACAGGAATGTTAATTAATACTTATAAATATTACTTATTTTCCCAGAGTGGAAAATAAGTGAGTTATCCTATGTTGTATATGACATTATAATGGTGTAATCGATATATTATTGAAATTGCATTTTTTTACTAAATTAAACTTTTTTTAAAACTCTTTACTTTTTTTAAAAAAAAATGAATTTAAATACACAAACTGATTTTTTATCAGCTTCGAAACTTTCTAAAGATACAAATCCTAATTCTTTAAATCATTTTGAACTTGTTACTGATGATCTTATACAAGAAACAATTTCATATAGAGTTGTTAAAAATACAAAAAAAATACAGATAATTGATAAGAGTACTTAATAAATATCGAACTTTTAAATATATAAATTATAATATTTATAAAGTTCTTGATTATAAACAATTAGAATAAGAATTAGTTCAGTTTTTTCTAGCACTTCATCATAAGGATAAATAACAATATTTACCAAAATCTATTTATAATTATTATTGTATAATTGCGCGTCATTTGCGTAATAATTCTTTAATGGATCTATGTTCTAATTTATTTGATAATACCTATTATAGAATATTATTAAAGACTTTAGATGAAAAATCAAAAAATTCAAGATGATAAACCGCAATACATAAAAAAATCTGATGCATTGTTTTATAAAGAAATTCAACAAATTTTAAATCATAATATATTATGTGAAGATACATCTCAAACATTAACTAAACGAGTTTATTTCTGGTTATGTTTACTTTGTGAATTTCGTGGTATTTATGCACAAAGATTAAAGTTATCTCAAGTAAATATCACAAAACATCAAGGATTTCAAATAATTATTCTAAGAGAAAGAATAATGCAAGAGGTTTAAGAAATCTTGATAATTCAGTATAAATATGTGAAATTTTACTAGATAAATCTGGAAAATTTACACCAATTGCAAATATATTATATTATACAAATAAAAGACCTTCTGGATTTATAACGCAAAATTTTTTTTTGCAAATTACATCAAAAAAAGGTATTTAAATATATTTTAAATTTTTTATTTTCATTATTTAATTATTTATTTTAATATTAATTAATTTTATTAATTTTAGATAATTTACGTGATATTTGATTTGTTGATTATCCACTTAGATGGCATTTACATGAAACAATAATTTGTGAAATTTGTCAAGTTACTGACATATCAATGCATTTAAGAAAAATTACAAATTATTCTTTACGACGTACTTCAATTTAAATTCTTACCCAATTAAATGTCTCTGCAGATCATATTATGTCATTTTCAGAACATCAATCTTTTGGTGGAGTAGTATCATATAAAACATTTACTCCTGAATAGGGTTTCGCAATTTGATTTGTATTTAAATATTTGATTTGAAAATCAAATCAAATACAAATTCAAATTAATGTTTAATTCGATTTAATCAAATTCAAATCAAGTATTCAAATATTTGATTTGATTTGAATAATAGTAAAGTCATCTCTAAAGCTTCAGAAGTGGCTCTTACTAAGAAAACCATAGTAAAAAGTGCCTATGCAGCTTCAGAAATGCCTTTTTTACTAAGAAAATATAGCAAAAAGTGTCTCTGCAGCTTTGAAAATACCTTTTTTATTAAGAAAACTATAGTAAAAAGCATTTTCGCAGCTTTGAAAATGAAGAAAAACATAGTAAAAAATGCCTTCACAGCTTCAGAAACGTTATTTTACTAAGAAAACATAGTAAAAAATGCATCTGCAGCTTTGAAGATGCTATTTTACTAAGAAAACATAATAAAAAATGCCTCCACAGCTTTAGAGACGTTTTTATTAAGAAACCTAGTAAAAAATGTGTCTGCAACTTCAGAAATATTTTTTTACTAATAAAATTGTTATGAAGCTGAGATAGCGGTTATTACTAAGTTTTCTTAGTAAAATTGAAGTCACGATGGCGGTTATTACTAAGTTTTCTTAGTAAAACCGAAGCTGCGAAGTTATTTTACTAAGTTTAATAATAAAAATTCACCTGTTACTAAACTTACTTTATAAAAGCTATTTTTGAAATTTTTTA